CTAAAACTACCAAAAATAGCATATTGGAAGTTTTCAAAAAAAAATTGATTAATATCCTTATTTTAACTACTTATGTATGAAGTTAAACTTGGTTTGGTCAAAAACCCCCAAAATAGGCCAAATCGGAACCCAAGGGCAAAACAGTCATTTTATGCAATTTCGGCTGAAGCGTCAGATCACACATCAAAGACCATTTTTGAAATCCTTATGAAAAATGGAGTCCAACACCACCAATTAGAGCCCCAAAAACCACCCGACTCACCCTCAAGCTGCGATAGAAAGTTTGGCCCAAAAACCACCATCTTCTTCCTCCTTCCACTCCCAAGTGTTGCCCTAATTTTCTGAAAACTGTCACGACCCTACTTTGCAAGGCTCGTTCTCCCTCCACAATATAGCAAATTCCTTCACTCCAATGCTGATCTCTTTCCCTCTCAACCTAGTTTTAAACCCCTTAGGCCTCTTGCTTTGAATCCACACTATTCCCCACGAATTTAAGGTCAAAATAAGTTCCAAAACCATTTTTATAAAGTTGACCAAATCTGCAAATCCTCATTTAATCCCTCAAATGACCTCCCTTTGCAATTCTAACACCATTTTTGGATTGCATGATCCCAAATTAGCTAACCCAAGCCCCCTTTCAAAGCTTAAACAAGTTTTTTGCAAAATCAAAAGTCAAGATTTGAAACCCCTTTGTCCCACCTCTACACATCACGACCAACCTCCAAACCACTCCAAATCTACCCAAGAACATGAATATCAAGTTTAATTGGAAGGAAAAACATGCTAGATATGAAACCCATTGGAAAATCCAAAACCCACTTCCTACTTTAAACACAAGTTTGTAACTACACACTTAACCAAATCAAATTCCAAGCTTACCAATAAACTCAGGGGGTTGAAGGAAGAGTTTGGTGTACACTTGTTCCTCAAAACACTGTAGTTCACAAACCTAAAATTCTTTCTTTCTCTCTCTTCTTTGTTCTTTCTCCCTCTTCTCTCTGTTGCTCTCTCCTTCCTTTATGCTTTGTTCTAATCCTTTCCAGAAACCTTAAAACACCACCAAGCTTCCACCTAGCATGGTCATGACGATTTGCATGCAAGAACTCACCAAAAGAAGACACCTTCTCGATGCACCATGTGAGGTGCTTGGAGGGGCATTTTCATAAATACCCTCAAATTTTTTTTTTTAATTTTTATTATTTCTTTTTAATTCACCAACTTATTATTTAACTTAGAAGTATCATTTCTCCAAAAATACAAAAATTCATCTATTTATCGATTCAATCCGATTTTACTTTAATCAAATGATTTTACCCCTAATATGTTTAGGTTAAATTTCACACCAACTACCTTCCGGAAAAAAAAAAAAAAAATTCAAACCACCCGCAATTACTACTACCATTTAAACCACCAACATAATCCATCTTTTTTTATTAACGCTCGCATAAGGGGTGTTACAACCTACCACATATACACTTTATTCCCAGAGTCATAACTTAGTTGTTACATTCCTCCTTGTCGGCCATCATCATGTACACTCCTTTTGTCATGTTTGTTTACTTTTCACCGTTGATCTACTACGCTTCCGCTACACAATTATGATAAAGTACAAGATAATCTGTGTACAAATCATCTCTGAGGGTCATCTCCTAAAAATCAAAGTTAATTCACCGATAGATAGATAAGTCACCACTAGTAATAAAACTTTTGATATGATAAATCTATATTCACTGCGTATCAATTCCTCAAACACCCATAGATCATCATCCTAAGTAACTAAACCTAGGACAATCTGCAAAATCTCAAATCTATGCTCTGATATCACTAAATAACGCTCCGATTCAATTCATGCAAATCAGAGTGCTAATGGCCTTCATAATAACTAAATCATAAATTCTTCAAATAAATGTGCAAGTTGTAGTACTAACTTGTCACAACCCGGATCGCCAAGGCATGTAACATATAACGTCTCACATCACACGAGCACATTATGTGATAACGATCGTATATTAAATCATAACTCGATCCAAGCCCCCATCAAAACATAAGTGATGAACTCTACAACTTTGAGAAGATTCACAATATACAACTCTCAGTTATAGAACTATTAAGCCCACAACTGTATAAATTTAACACTTACAACAAAGTACATGCTTAAAATTTATCATAGCTAAGCCAGTATAAATAAAGATAAGTTGATTGAGCCAAGCCTCACACCTCACTGCTCGTACAAGTTCTTAAGAATTAACGTCGGGCAAGGATCAAAATTTTGTTTTGGTGTATTATTTTAGTTATCTACGAAGCGGAAACATTTCGATGCATTTTGGAAACGTTTTGACCCGTTTCAGAAATATAATAAAAAAAATTAAAAAATTTAAGAATTATTTTTCTAAAACATTGATTGAAATATATCAAAATATCTTGAAATACTTTAAATATTCTGAAACAATTGTGCAACTGCATTGAGATATTATAATATATCTCGAAACATTATGGAATACCTCGAAATATTAGAATTTTGATTTTATCACGAATTCATTTCGATCTCCTTANCGTTATGAAATACCTCGAAATATTAGAATTTTGATTTTATCACGAATTCATTTCGATCTCCTTAAAAACAGAAACGTTTTGGACATTTCGACCGTTTTGAAACGATATTTTGATCTTTGACATAGTGGGAGCATCAATCAGCTCAGTAGATATAGTAGCTCAATTCCAAAGCACATCAGTTTAAAAATAAGTAATTTGACATGATTGGGCATCAAGGAAACAGTCATTGATACATAAATAACTAAAACAATAACAATTTAAAAGGAGTTCAAAAATTCGGATATAGTGCCACACCGAAGAGCATCATCCTATAGACCACTCAAAATTGATACGAACCATTCGATCCAACATTTTAGGGGACTTTCACCCCAAGGAATATACGCTCTCTAATTCAATACGATCCAGTTCGATTCCTAAGTTCGAAGGTCAACTGGACCACCCTAGCATTTACAAACTCAATAAAACCTCAACAGTCTCGACTTGGAATATAAACCCTGTCAGTGCACTCTGATTCCGTATGTAAAGAATGTACTTATCAATTGAAAATTTTGATGACAAAATTTCTAACACCTCGTCTCTTTAAATTTCACGAATAAAAAAAAATAGTAGGTGGAATTAGAATTAATTAAAATGCTAGAAATTTGATTGGGGCAAATTTTGATTTGTAAAATATCGAGTTCATATTAGAAGTATCAAAATTTTAATAGAGGTTAAATTAATGTTTTAGATGATAGTAAGAGGAAGACATGCAATTTTTAGTATCTTTTTAAGGGTACTGTTTGACTACTTTTTGATGACCGGTGTATTTGTATACTAAGTCACTGGTGAAAGGTAAAAGTAATAAACTATAGATAAGGTTAACAAATGTCAACCACAAATGAGAAAAGGTTGGATCATTCTAAGTATGGCAGTTGGCATTGAAAAATGGATGAGTGTAGAAAGGAAACATAAAAAAAATAAAAGAAAAGAAAATGCATGAATATTCAAACAATGGCTATTTGCTAAGTGAGGTATAAAATGGTGCTTGCTTCTCTAGTTGATAATGTAAAACGTGTCACTCAACCTCATGAGCTTGGAGTGAGTCATATCATAAATCAATAGAAATAAAATATGAGGTGCAAAGAAGGCGGCTGCCGGTTTAAGAGGAGTCAAAATTGAGAGGTAAAGAGGATGGTAATGAAAGAAAGAATTCAATCCGTGAGGTTTTAACGACAAATCGAATGGCGAATATGATCTGATTTTTGGGGACTTCAAGTATGTTTCTCTTGAAATAGTGGTGATTCCATCTATTGGTGTCAACTGTGCTGGGTAAGTGGTTAATTTCACAAGATGCATCCTTCTTTAAATCTCTTTGCAAAGAATTTCACTTATCTTTGCCATCTTCAATTCCATTCGATTCATTCAAAGTGTCGTATCGCATCGTTTTTTCTTTTGAAATTATGTGAATTTTTGTTTGATGTTCAAATGAATTTGATATGCAAAAAATATTTTGGCGGGTGAATTACTTGGATAGTTATCGGTACAAGTATTACGTGCACTCAGTGGCACTATTATGGCTGTGAAGACTTCTGTACATATGGTAATATTGAATAAGTTAAATTACCTGAGGGGANTATCTGTGAAGACTTCTGTACATATGGTAATATTGAATAAGTTAAATTACCTGAGGGGATCCAATATGGCATGTCCTTGTCTTGAAAAACAAGCTGATAAAATATCTGCTGGTCCAAGTTTGTAATGTCCTTGAGTTAGCGGTTCAAAATTCAAATTAATGGGCCTTTGTTTCAAAGGGGTTTAAAATTGAAGTTAATGGGTTTCTGTTTCAAGTTCTAACAAGGCCCTGTCCTCACAAGAAAGAAGAGAGATTTAAAAGCTGCTGTAATGCTTAAAATTAGGTCAGCCTTTACAACTGATTGACTAGCGCAACTGAGCTTTCTCAAAGGGATGCAATACAACATGATCTAGGCCTGAGATACAAGGAAAGAAAAATGACAATTGTTGCAAGTTGGTTGAAGTTGAAGAAAACTTGTTATAGTTCCTACTTTTTATTCCCATAGGATTGAATCTTGTACTTTTCCTGATAAGAATAATGAACTAGTTTTGAAGTTTTAACAACTTACTCATGCAAAGAGCAATGTGATTGTTACTTATTTTCGCATGGCTTAAGGATCAAACTTTTCTGCTTGATACCCTTTTTCTCATTGGGTGTCTCATTCCTTTGTCAATTTCTAGTTGAGTAAGAAGCAGCAAAAGAACTTGCCTTTTGACTTTGAGGTAAGCCATTGCCCTATTTGCATAAGCTACAGCAGTTGGTGATAATGCAATGCTCCTAGAATAGCAATTTATCGCTTCTTTGAAATTTTTCTGCTTATAATACTCGTTACCCTGTGAATTTGACATACAGAACATAATGGACATCAACAATGACATAATTGTGCCATAAGACTTCACATATTCAAAATAAACCATACCAACTCCTTCTCGGAAACAGCATCAATAGAACTCTCTTCCTTCATGAAACCGCTAGACAAATTATGGATTGTATCATTGCTTCCCAAGTAATCATATTGTTTTGCTGTGCTAGACTGTTGACTAGCATTGTTCACATTATGTCTCTGTGCATGAAAGTCCTGCAACAAAAAGCATAACATTCAAGAAATCCCATATTTTGAACCACCACATTAATCACAGAAAAATCAAGAGCTTTTACAAAGAACTGGTTCTTTGATTTTACACTATAGACTTTTTAACATGCATAACTTCAAAGCAATCACAAACCACAATATCATCTTAGCAGGTGAGACGGGGTGAGCGTCGTCTTTCAACCCCACTGTACCATCCATAGTTGTGGGAATGAAACAAAGAGGACCAATTATCCTTCTGTATCGCCCGCAACAAATCAGTTGCATGTGCGCCTATATATATATTAAAGAGAAAGCAAGAAACCCGGCGGGCAACACATACATGAGTTCAAACTAAAGCATCAGGGGGGGGATGGAGGAACTCATGGGATTCTAAGAAAAGATATTAATATCCTTTTCANGCAAGAAACCCGGCGGGCAACACATACATGAGTCCAAACTAAAGCATCAGGGGGGGGGATGGAGGAACTCATGGGATTCTAAGAAAAGATATTAATATCCTTTTCATTCATTGGAATTCACCATTTACAAATTGAAGTATCATTTCCAATATTGAGAATTTGAGGGTTCATAGAATTACCAATGTCTTCTTGTCAAGAATTTGGGATTTAAGTTTCTTATCTTTGTTCTTAAGAGACAGTTCCCAATCCTGCAAATTATTCAACATCCCCTCATAATCTTGGCCAACCTAACAATACCAGTGAAAAGCAGACAATCAGATTAAGCAAAAGTGCTCTTGTGGTTGATAATTCGCCACTGAAATGCATGCTTCTAAAAAATATAAATGTAACCGTTTTAGGTAAGTTAACATGCCATAAATCATCTAAGATTTTACACTTCACCCTTGTTTGAATTTGTGATGCATTTGGCAGCATGGAATTCTTGGCTTTGAAATGGAATCGGAAGATGATTAATTCAAATTTCAGAACTAAATTTCTCCGAAATTTCAATTACTGGCTAGCAACCAAACACGATATTAGTTCCTTGTGCCGAAACAACAGTGCATTTGCAAGATGGCAACACCTAAGCCAGTGACAGCATACAATGGAATTAAGAAATCCTAAATTGGTGAGTCAATCCAACGTATTGCGCTTTGAGTTCATCAATAAGCTGCAAACTCCTATCAAGATTAATAGACATGTGCATATATAAGTATACACAAACGAAATTGAAACGTAAGACAACAAAAACAATAGAGGAAAGAGAGAGAGAGACCAAAGCTTGATCGCAACCGTGTTTGGTCGGCACCATTAAATTCTCAAATATAAAATTATTAAACTCATCCCATTTCATAACTACCCCATTGACGAGTAGACTCACTCCCAATTCCTGTTATGCATATTAGTTATAGATTATTCCCAATCTTATCTTCTCAAATTTATGCTTTTTTTGGTATGATTGAAAAATAGAAAGTAAAAAAGATAGATAAAATATTATGTTTAGTAAGAAATGATGAAAAAGTGGGTGGATTAGCATTCCTTCCAACTCACCAATATCTATCCCTCCAAAATTGAGAAGAAAAATAAATGAAAAGTTAATTATGTGTATTAAAAATTTGAAATGTATGTTATGTATCTTTATATCCTTTAACATATGCATATTAGCTAATACCCGCACCTGAAGGCACTATAACAATACAAAAATGTCAATTGAAAAAACATAAAAAATTCACCAACCAATTTAGCCTTTTAGGTCCTAATAAATATCAACGAAGTTCCTATAGAAACAAGATCCTAGACAAAAATACAACTCAAACCAACTATTGAACTCACCATCACTCCAGTTCTCCCTTAATACAACTATTTACAAACTACCCAACATACTCAACTCTACCTCTTTAAACATGGATTACGATTTGCTCTACCCTAAAAATTTCGGCATCATATAAACAACACCTTACCAAACAAAGAGCCAAATCGAACACTACTCCAACACATGCAATTGACAACACTAATCCAAAATCCACAACAAACACAACATTCTACCCCTAACCAATTCAAGCCTAATAAAAAAGATATAAAAAAAAATCTTAGTGAATGATGATATCAAAGCAAAAATCTATGTATTAAGTGTATGTCATAAATCACATCCAAAAAGAAACAATCTACCTATTAAAAAGATTTTGCAATTTAAATCCACATAATGAAATCCCAAAAATAAAAAAATGTAACCCATACAAATAGTCATCCACAAATAATGGGCCCCCACTTTTTAATTCTAATAACATCAGTGGTGGTGTTAGCATTGCGAAAAAATAAACTTTCTATTGCATTGGTTACATGGACTATTGCCAAAAAGAATTATTATAATTGTTAATATTGATAGATCGATCACAACATACAATCAAAAACATCATTTTTCTGCTAAATTTTTTTCCACTAACTAAAATAGAATTTCAAAAAACAATGAGCAATATTGTCATATGTCAAAGTCTTCTCAATCGAGCTCAACACATTATGGGGCTGCTTCAAGTTTCCTCATTTTGGTTTAATCAAATTCCCTATCAAAAAATTTAGAAGACAATTATTATTTAGAATCATAATGCCATAAGAAATACATGTTCAAACTTCAAATGGAAAATCTGATTACAATTTAATGCATGAGGTACCATTAAAAAAAAAACAATTTAATACATGAGGTACCATACATGTATGGACCACAAAATATTATACCAAAAATAGTCCCACCATGATACAGTAATAAACCCAACAAAAGGGTAGTAAGAATAATGTCATACAACAACGTAGTTGAAACATCTAAAAAACAAAAATAGTAGTGAAGATTCACTAATATTTTATGCAAACGTAGTTGCCTTCCTGCCTATGACAACCAACCCGAAAAAAAAATGGAAACAATGAAATGGTGCTCTTCATTCTCTGTAAAAGATAAAATAGTCCTCCGGGTTGGTTTAGATATATAGGCTATATGTTGTTCTTTGCAAACTCTATTTTCTGCTCAAATGGCACCATTTATCGACAAATTTGAGACTAAAAACAAAAGTTAATCAACATAAAATACATAATACCCAATTCAAAAAGTCAAATTAAAAATTAAAATTTGGGACTTATATTTAATTAATTTTAATCCAAATATCATTATTTCACCAACGTATAAGAGAGACCCGATCCATCATATCAAATGAAGAAGAGAAAATATAGAGGAGAAAAAAGAGAGCAAAGACATTTTTCTTTCACAATTTAGCAAGAAAAAAGTACCTGTTGATTGTATAGCCATTGGTCCATCAGGTCCAAATCCCTTGGATTGCTCACCAGAATCCTTTGAAGCCACTTCAGCAGTAACAATCTTTATTGAATTTATAAAGCCAAAATTCACTGTAAATTAAGGCAGTTATGATACCTGGAAAAACAAAACATCAACAATAATAGTTTCAATAATGCTAATTAAAGACACAGATTTATTCTCATAAATCGAGTCAATCACAACAGTGTACAGGAAATCAGCCTTCCTTTTTTTACTGTTACATTTTTAATAAATTCAATCCACAGAGAACCAAAATTTTTCAAGGAATCGAGCTCAAACCAAAAATCCAACACAAAAAATCAATGGAACCATACCCCAAACATAATATTTTAACACATACTTTAACAGTTAAAAAGTTTGAAAAATTCTGGGAAAATAAAACAAATTTATCACTTCCTACTCTCTGTCAAACCCCATTCCCCACAACCCACTTCCTTTGGTATCCATATTCAAATACATTGAAAGCAACCTGAAAATGATTTCCTGTAAGTAAATTAAATCTTGTGGCCTCCATGTGCAGAGATAGGGTAAAGCTCCCAAAAGGCTCTATCTTACAGTGAATTCAACTCAACGTAACTAAATGCACTAAGTCACTCATGTTTCTATTCACAGAAGGCTCAAAGAAGAAGAAATACAAAAAACATAGAATGAGAAATAGGAAGGGAGAGGCTATGGAAAAAAAAAATAACTTTTTCTCTTCTTTTCAACCTAGCTGTTGTGGTTAGAAGCCTTGTGGATGCTATGTATGGCCACGCTACACTGGACAAAAGTAAGGGGAGTGGGATTTGGGCATTACAAAAATATAGTCGCTGATGAGTTTTCGAACACCATTTTGGTTTCAGAAAACTTATGATTACATTCATTCAACAAACCACACTAACAACATTATGGAAAAAATTAGCTACTGCCAAGAATTGCAATAACTCAGTATGAGCATCATAAGGTACATATAATGTTCAACCTATATAAAGAAAATCGTAATTAGGATGTAACTGGAAAACAAAAATACTAAAACACAGATGAGTGAAAGGGCAAGATTCCTTCCCAGTATTTAGGTTTCCAAGCATAGCCATATTCAGTTCAACTTCTAATGGCTTTATCTCTTCTGAACTCCAACTCTCTAAAAAATTTCCTATGAAAACACAATGCAAGGAATTGGAAGGCACTATGTAAGAAAGCGAGAAGGCAGATGATTATTGGGTGGGGTAGGGAGGGTTTGGCAGAAAAATTGAACAATTCAATATTTTTTAATCTTTGAGGCAATTCAACAATCACATGGAGGCACATATAGAGACAAAAAATCCATAATACAGAAGCTCAACAAGAAAAATGAACAATTGAACATTTGGTAATTTGTGGGAAGATTTTACAAACACGCGGATCTGGTGGCATCTCTGAGACGTGTGTGTGCAATTGTGTGTTTGTGTGGAGGTGTGTGGTGAATCTGGTTTCACGAAAAAGGGTTTCAGAAGGGGGCACAAATTTCGGTTTTGGAAATTTTCAGTTATTGGATGAGCTGAGTACCGATCAATGGCCCTGGTAATAGGCCATTACAATGTACTGGATTTACATTGAGTGTGGCAGCAGGGTTAGTTTGAGCTTGGGTGCCGTTACCGTGGTGGAGGGTAAGTGAGAGATGGGGGAAGGGGAGAGAAGGAAAGAGAAAGAGGGAGAGAAAGAGGAGATACCTTTGATTGCCGCTAGGGGTCGTCGGAATAGCTGGCGTCGTCTTTGGCGTGGGTTGCGCTGTGGCGCGCTGGACAGAGTAGACTGGAGAGAGAGGAAGAACAGAGAGTCTGGAGGGAGAATCGACGGTATGGGAATCAACCGCATGCTATGCGGTTTAATGGAGCGAGGCCGTTTTACGGCTTTTTCCACCTGCTTTTTCTTTTTTTTTTTGAAAAATCAAAACGTCATCATTTTAGATCCCTTCTGTTTAGGATATTCGTCTAATTTCGTTTCGTTTGGACCAAAAATAGACTATACATATTGGACAATAGACGTATACAGAGATATTCGTATAAACTAGCACAGGGATGAACTGACACCGACCCCAACCCCCGCTTCCCCGTATATATACATATAATCATAAATTTTAATTTCATTCTCACCCACCTATAAAGTTAATTTTAAAATTCAGTGGGCCCCATTTATTTTTTTTGGTCTAATAAGATAAGTTCTATTATCTTTGTATTCTTTTTTTATGACTTTTGTTAAATTTGTGATGAGTTTTGTTAGATCTAAAAATCTATGTTGTGGTAGATATTGAGAATTTTTGTTTCAGATCTATGGTGTTAAATACGAGATTTTTAAATGTTGCTTTTCTAATTTTTTTTATTATTATTTTTTTGTGTTTGATCTACAATTTTCATGTATTACATCTAATTTTCTATGTTAAANGGTAGATATTGAGAATTTTTGTTTCAGATCTATGGTGTGTTAAATACGAGATTTTTAAATGTTGCTTTTCTAAATTTTTTATTATTTTTTTTTGTGTTTGATCTACAATTTTCATGTATTACATCTAATTTTCTATGTTAAATATGCAATATTCTAAATTTTCTAATTTTATGCTATTTAAATATGGTCTTTATTGAATTTTGATTATAGGGTTAGATATGTTTTTTTACTGATTTTTGAGTTTATTCTACTTGAATATGGTTTTTGTTCTTTAAAAATTGTTAGATAGACTTTTTGCTTGAAATGTGTTGGATAGACTTTTTGCCTACTCAGTATATCAAATGTTAGTCCTTATTAATGAAAAGAATTATGTGATATTTTTTAATTGGTATCATGTAATTNGATTTTTGTTCTTTAAAAATTGTTAGATAGACTATTTGCTTGAAATGTGTTGGATAGACTTTTTGCCTACTCAGTATATCAAATGCTAGTCCTTATTAATGAAAAGAATTATGTGATATTTTTTAATTGGTATCATGTAATTTTTTTTTATTTTTTTGGATTATTTACAATGTTGGATTATGTTAAGTTTGGGATTGGGCGGGAGATGAAGGCGGGGACAGGAGCGGAGACGAGGATTACAAATTTATTTGCGAATGAAAATAAGGATGAAAACTATACTTGTTAACATGGATGGATTGGGGATGGACGAAATTTTTTTAAGTGGGTAGGAGATAGAGACTACACCCCCTGCCCCCTGCTTCAGTTCACTGTCATCCCTAATGGACTAGCCGAACCCCATTCCCCTTTATTCTCCCTAGACCTGTCCATGAGTTGGGTTACCTACAGATTCTGTTTTCCAACCCAGAAAAAGAGGCCCAAAACTCGATAGGCTCGATAGTTGGTACGTCCAAGCCCGAGCCCAATATCCTTAAAAAGAGGGCTTGAATTTGCCCCCAACCCATTACCCAACCAAAAATCCATCTCAATAACCTGTCAAAAAAAAAACACTTTAAAACTTGACCCAAGAGCCCACTAGCCAAGCCCACCCGTCTTTTAAAAAAAGAATTATATTTTTAGACTATTAAATTTGAAACTTTGAAATAAATCTCTCAATGTCGGAATTTGAAGTTTTAAATATTTAGATACTATAAATAATATATTTATTTTTATGTATTAAACATACAAGTTTTAAAGGGTAAAGTAATATAAATGATAGATAAGTGAGTAAGTGTCAACTTAGTTGGAATGTATTCATTCTATTAGATGTAATTCAACCCCTAATTAAAAAAAAAATTATACATTATTTTATTTTTATCTATTTTGACTTTACTTTTGATTCAAAAATATAATTTATACAAATATTAAGTTACAAAAATATTTATTATTTTTATATGAAGTTGCATATATAAAAAAGCTCGTCAGCAGGCCCGCCCAGCAAACTCGTCCAATAGGCTCATGGGTTGAGCTACGGGCAACCTACCCCTACTCAAAGTCAAGTCTAGCCCGTCCGATAACTCAATTAGGTACGGGTTTAAACTTACACTACCCAAGCTCGACCCGAAATAAAATTTGCGGGCCTAACCCACCCGAGCCGGCCAGACCCCGCCCATGGACACCCCTAATTCTCCTGCCGCGGCCAAACTACTATCTTTCATTCTCAGCTTCATCCCACATTTTGTCTCTACAGAGAATGTGCAAGCAATACTGTTTCTCTATGTAAGAAACCCATTACCCAATTGTGTAAAAAACTAGATATTGGCAACCTTGTGCAGACTTAAAACTTCTCTGCTAGTTGCTTATGGCTCGGATGAAACTCCTATGCATTCAATCAGTTTACTAATATATTGCTATGGAGTAATCTGCATGGTTGCTTCTCTATTGCTAAAAATTTGCACAAATTGTATAATTTTTTGGGCATTTGCTCTAATCCTTTGCAAAGATGTTCTCTTCTAATAAGTCCAACCCGTTTCTTCTTCCAACATTTCGCCTTCTACAATCGATTTGCTATTTTGAACTTCCAATTTTCAAAGAGTTCTTTTTGATTTTCTGAGATTTTTCATACAATTTTTTGTTCGTTCTTGACTTGTGGGAGTTTTGTGGTTGATAATACCCAAAATATGTCTAAGGTTGAACTTGGGTATTCAACTCGGACTCTTCCAAACTTGGACCACTTAGTCCACGGATGATTAGGGAATTGGAGGTCGGTACCTCCTCCCCATCAACTGCACCTCCACAAGAGTAGCGCAAAAGACAGTTCTCTTCCACCCAAGCACCACACATAACATAACCATCTTAACAAAGTTGATGACAATTACATAAAAGGCGCAATCATTATAAGAAAAAGGCAAAGATCACGCCAAGGATTAGGAAAAAGCCTCAGTAGATTATAAATAAGTGGCATATTCCTCATAATAAAAGCATGAGCAACTAGCCTAAACAAATACCCTGTTTAAACTTCCCCCTATTATCAATAATATCATCTCCAGGAGCAAGAGATTCCTTTTATGGTGGATTAGTCGAGCTCCCAACTGGTGAACAACTATAAACTTTCTATGTGCAAATTTCCACTTCCCTTGTTCAATTCTTAAGAGCTTAGGAGCTCTGACTGAGCCATTCAGTGACCACTAATCCCTAAATATCATAAGCTTTGCTCAATTGTGTAGTATACACTATCAATGGTACTGGTATATACACGAAAGTATTAGCTGAGTTCTATTAACTTTGGGAATGTTCAATTGGTTTTTTCCTGGAGTTCACTAATTTGTTGAAATCATATGAGGTTGAACTATTAGTTTTTATGCAGTTGTGCAAAGAATTAAGTATCTCAACCCTTGAGGCAATTCATTGTGCTTGCTCAAATTCACAGTAAAGAAAGCTTGTAGAAGCACACAGAGAGAGAGAGAATGAGTGAGGGAAGGTAAAGTGTGTATCAGCACTCCCCCCATATGCAACTTGATAGTTGTAACACCCCCCCACTACCCAGCAAGATATTGTCCTCTTTGGCACAGGGTCANAGAATGAGTGAGGGAAGGTAAAGTGTGTATCAACACTCCCCCCATATGCAACTTGATAGTTCAAATAGAAAGAAGGAAGAGGAAAGGTTTGAGTTGATATGTATGGTAGGAGGCACTGGTAACCAAAACTGTGTCATTTCATTTAAGTCGACAAAATGATGTCGTCCTATTTAACTGCACTAGTGTGGTTTGCTTGTCAATAACAGACGAGCCACATCCAATACAGGTCAACTACCCCGTAACGGTGGTTGTCTACATCGACAGAGACGGTGTCGACTGTGTCCAAAAGAAACAAATAGAAAAACTCTGCGTATTGTAAGCTCTCATCTCTGAAACCCAGAGACTAACTTAGCAAACACTCTCGACCAATGGGTCAAAGAAGGCAAGCCCTTCAAGAAGTTCAACATTGTTAACTATATCAACCAGCTTCACAATTCCAAGAAATATCACCATGCCCTCTAGGCGCTCTCTCTCTCCCTCTGTGTGTGTGTGTGGATACGAATATGTGTGTTTTTAAGTTGATTTTCTATTTCTTTTGTTGATTCCTTGATTTATTTGCACACTACCTACTAATGAATAATTGCTTGATTGACTAGATGCATGCACGGGCTTTAAAAAATATATGTGGTTATTGAGATTTTGATGAAATGGGCTCAATTTTTATATTGCATGCTTTCAGCAATGGGTTATTACTAGTGAACATATATGTCTGAGAATTCCACTATTTTGAGAAAATAATAGCTATTTTATATCAAATATTGACAAAAACATACATTTCTTGGTTACTTATAAATTGTTGATTTATATGGGAATTTTTTTGATTAGATGACTTCTGGTTTATGCTATGTGTAACGTTGGTTTTTTTCTTTCTTTCCAAAATTGTAGTTTTAAGATTTATTATTTGGGGGCTTTAGAAATTTGTTTGCACTAGTGTACTAGCTTATAGGGTCGCAAACTGTCACATCCTAGAATTTT